TACCTTACGTTTAGCTGGATAATTCTTGAAACATACAAACAATGCAAGCAACTTCGGTTGCTTGATATTTGCTTGGTTGCTTGATGACAATGCAGGATATTTTCACCCCTCCCCCTTGTAAGGTGTGTTGAAAGTGCAGCCACCTCCTCCCCCCCCCCCCCCCGAGCGCACGCCTCTTAAAAAGCTTCATTTTTGTTAAGCATATATAGTCGGACGGCTCTGCCATAAACTCGTTTTCATTGTTATCCTTCTATGGCACGATGTATGTTATATGAGTGCGCATTGCCTATCACATTTATGCTCAGAATCAAATTGTGCTGTTAAAGTTCATATAAACACAAGAAGTCGACTTTCAGGCTTACTAACTACCGAAAACGGCTATCAGTCTTCGCACAGCTTTAATCTCACACCCTCCATTACTATCAGTCTAATGACCACTAAGTTAGCTTTGATTTACGAACCACTCATATGAGCGTATAATGAGAACAGGCTTGCCGATGCCCCGCCGCGGTGGTCTAGTAGCTAAGGTACTCGGCTGCTGACCCACAGGTCGCGGGATCGAATCCCGGCTGCAGCAGCTGCAATTCCGATGGAGGCGGAAATGTGGTAGGCCCGTGTGCTCAGATTCGGGCGCATGTTAAAGAACCTCAGATGGTCGAAATTTCCGGAGCCCTCCACTACGGCGTCTCTCATAATCATATGGTGGTTTTGGGACGTTAAACCCCACATATCAATCAACCAGGCTTGCTGATGTTGAACTTTGCAAAGGTCACCCAAGTCAAACCGCTATAAATGTAGGCCGTTACTTTCAGTAGTGCAATTGCATGTACCACACCAGTATCTTTATCTGCCGACAAGGAAGTCAGTCACTGCGCATACATCTTTTCTATATAACAACAGTATTGCAAAAAGCTGCCTTAAAATGAAAAAAAAAAGCGTGTTGCTACACAACGCTGCACACAGGTACTCACGGGTCATCTAAGTTGAAGAAACCTGCGATGGACCTCTGGGTGAAATCGAATCTTCTTGCAGGTTCGTAAGGCGCCACGTTAGCGTATTGATACACATTGTGATTTGGCCCGCCAGCAAAGCCGAATCGGTTGTAGCCCAATGCATTGGCGTAGCCGTAGCCACCGCTGGTGGGATAGACTCCGTATGCAGCCGCACCATAGTTGGTACCAGGAACGTAGTTGATACCAGTGCCGTAACCCGTGTACGCTTGCCTAAGATTCAATCGTGCCCTTGCAGAAGGACTCAGTGGTGTGCTTGCGAAAGGGCGCACAACCCTACCGGTGCACGAACCTCTCATGCAGATCTCGCTGAAGCCCACAAAGAATGCCAACATTGCCAATGTGAGACGCATAATTTTACCTGAAATGGATTCAGTTGAATGGTTTCAACATAATATAAGAGGGTGCCTCTCTTAACATTGTTAAGCTCTGCTTATCAAAACACCGATGACCACAATCTCGTGCAAGTTGGTGCAATCGTAGCAGTTATCTTAGGGTATACATAAGTCAGTAGTTCACAAAAGCCCACAATTGTGATTAGTTACGGAAGCACAATCACTCGCATATTTCTCTTTAGGCTAATAGAACATTACTAATGCAAATTGCCACTCGTTGAGTGTTCACTGTAACGCTGTTTGGCAGTGCCAATGAACGACGGGGAAGCGCTATCACTGTAAGCTCAGGTATCCAACGCTTTCTGACTAATATCGCGCTATAAAAAAGGTGCCGAGAGGTGCGGACCAAATTTGTTGTGAGTATTAGCGCAATGTGCAAAATAAAGCAGCTTGTATCCTTCCTGAGGTTTTGGGAACACTAGCAGATGAGCATGAAACAGTGAACGAGTACACTTACTTTCGAGCTCTCCTTCGCAAGAATTTTGTCCTTTCGATGTTGAGAAACGGATTCGCGAACACAGCTAGTGCAATACGAGTGAGTTTTGCCACAGAAAAAAAAAAACAAAGAAGAACAGCCAGATCATTGTGCCACATTTTCCCTTGCTCAAAATGAGCCACCTATCACTGAGTACCAGCCATGGGCGGCTCTTTTTCTTGTACACACAGCTTCGCTCTTTCAATCATCCTCAGTGCGTATATCCCCGGCATCTATCATGTACGCTACGCTTTCCTGCAGCGGCCATCCTCCTTGTTTGAACATCGCCATCTGGAACTTCAACCTCTTTCGTCGCCATATTTTCCCCGTAGGCAACGTATCGCTAGTGCCCCCTGACGTCTTTTGACCTCAGCGCTCGCCACTTCTTCACAGCCGGCACATCCCAACAAGGTCATGGCCCATCTCACGTGTGAAGCACCCTGAGAAGAGCTGGATTTGTGGGTCCTAACTCAATCCTGTGAGGTACAGTCGTTGCAATTCGCTAATGTCCTGAGTGTTTCTTTGACGAAGCATACGCGAGGCGCTTTTATTTTTGCTTGCAAGAAATTTCTGACACACTGCACAACTATTTGATATAGCGTAGTAAGCTTTGTTACCTCATTGCGCACTTGCATTACGTGGGCTTACGGTTATTATCATTACGTGCAGCCTTCGAAATTTCTTTCGTTAAACTTGTTCTTCATATGTGATTGCAACCGTCTCTTATTAGTTAATTTTATGGTGACCTCGCTACTCACCGTAGCGGATGATCCTCGCGTGCTGCTACCAAAAGACCGTCGCTTGGGCCTCGTGAGTGAGTGAGTGAGTGAACTTTTATTTGGTCAGGCAAAAAGCGACAGAGCCATTGTCATGTCTTAAAGCGCAACGAACGGTCCAGCTTATTTCATTGCACTGTAAATTTGATTCTCATTATAAAATTTAGTCTGATGTAGGCTCTAGTTACTGGTTCATTTTGTAAAATGATGTCGCGGGTTTTTCCTCACTCCTTCGAAGAAACCAGTACACAAAATGAAATAGGCTGTAAGGTTATATAGAATAGTAAAATTTGGCTCTGTTTAATAACTACGCCGCTCTATTTTTCCAGGGAGTGTACGCTAGAAAAGTATGCGCATTGTAAGCATTGGAGTGTGTAATTTGCACGTGTAGTGAGTCTCCTGTTGAGAAAAAAGTATCAAGAAATAGAAACACTAAAAGTATTGTCACTGTTATTGACGCAGTTATTTTTCAAAACGCACTTTGTATTTGTTCGCTATTTGTGTCTTCACATCATATTTCCTATGTTAACTATATGTGTTCTGCGTTTCAGCTCATCAGCCAAAATGTGAAAGTTACCATAGAGCCATCCAAAAATTTAACTTCATATTAGCGTTTTAATGGCATGATTGCAAAGTGAATTATTCATATTTAGAAGAAATATATATTATGGCAAATTTGATGTGTGAATAAAGTTTGAAGAGTGTCTGACATATAATCGCTGCAAAAGCATTAGTGCATCGCTATAGATACTCAGGTATTTAGTGAAAGGCTTGCAATGTTATATCGTCGTCTTCAAAGAATGCCAAAAGGCAGTGCTTTGTTTCATGAACATATAAATGCTGAGTTAGTGCATAATGTATAGCAAAAGTTAGTTTAATATAGCTTGCTTAAAAGTCCTTGAAAACTTTTGAAGAGTGTTCATTTTCTCCCTTCACGTTAGACGTGGGGGCTGCTGCAAGTTTTCTTGGTGTCATTGGTTTATTACGCGAGGCGTATTTTCTATAAATTGAAAATAAAAGAAGCATTTTGTGGGTGGTGTGAGGGCGCAGTGCTATGGGTGTAGCTTATAAGGGTTCCCGACGGTAACTTATGCAAGTTGTGCAAAAGAAAAGAAGTTATTTTACGAACAGCGTAGGAAGTTTCTATTTTCTTGTTGTTGTGGCATATGTATCAAAGTGCATTACTGTTTAATTTCAGCGTGGTAATCAAGGATAGCTTGTTGCGAGAATGCTGAATTTTCTCCACGTGAACATTTCTGCTTTGGGAAGTATTCTACTGAGTGAACATTCGTATGTCGATAATAAGAGATTGCGCACGTGAATGTCGGCACTTGTGCAATATTTCAATCGCTGTGGTTTTAGGGCATTACGAGAAAAATTACCGCGTATAAGAAAAGGAATAACAATTTCCACAGATATGGCCAATCTCTCGAAAAGTACAGCATTTGAAAAGTGTTCGACCGATCCCCTCGGAAAACTGCACTCTCTACGAAGTTCGTACTTTACTAGATAACATGCGTATAGTCGTTTAACTGAGAGCGTTAATTATTCAAGAGCGTTAATTATTCGGCTGGCTGCTAAAAATCTTATTTAGGTGAACTTAAGTCGACTGCAGTCGTGAATTCTTTGTTAGCAACGAAAAGTTGAACAACTTCTTCCTACGTATAATACATTTAATGAGGTCGGACACCGACACAACAACAACCCGGCGTCACACAATGCAAATTGTGTAACGAAGCGTCACACAATACGAATTGTAATACCAGTTGGCCGTGGAATACTTCCACCACAAAGGGCTCCGCCATAGTTCCTTAGCGTTATTAGCCATCGAATCAACAATGAGGTGGAGGGTAACTTGCAAGTGTGCTCTTATAATATAGTTTGTGACGGGTTATAGAAATGGCGCTCTTGCAGTTGTCGATCGGCGTGATTGTGCTTAGCTTTTGGCGCAGGCCTGGCGTATTGGTTTTCTTTCCCGCGTATTCATATTTTGACTTGACTTAACCTAATACACCACTGTCGTAGCGTCTGAAGGCGTGTAGTACAGCCACTTGGTAGATACATTAGTTCGTTGTTTTCTGTTTTTCCGGTCCACACACTGTGAAGTAAATTTGCTAGGCCAGATTGTTAGAATTTCTAACTTTCAGCAATAATAGTGAATGCATAATGGCGTTTCACGAACGTTCATTTACCTTCAACATTTCTAGGTTCTTTTGTAGTCGTTGAACAGGCTTGTCTGCAGAAGTTTTATGCCTACTGCACCTAACAGCAGTACTAAAATATCGAACTTCCTCTTTTTGCAGCTCTCATTTCAGAGAAATATATTGCAGAGTGACAACAGAGGATGACAAGCGTGTTTCTGTACGTTCCCAATCTTGTTGGGTACCTTCGCATGGCCATAGTGGCATACGCCTGGCTCTTTGTGAAAGACGACCGCTGGTTAGCGCTGCTCTTCTTCATCTCCGTGCTCTTGGATGGCGTTGACGGCTGGGCAGCTCGACTGCTGGGTCAGGCTTCACCATTCGGCACACTCCTCGACGTCAGCATCGACCTTGGAGCCCGGGCCATGCTGTGGAGCCTCGTATGGCCCCGTTTCGGAGGGTTCATCTCGTCTATCGAATGGCTGGGCCTGTTGTGCAACTACCGAGAAGCCGGCACCGACTGGAAGAAAGACGCCCACCACCATCCGCGCTGGATACGCGTGATCTTTGCCAACGGATTCAAGAATCCGTGGGGAGCCGTTCTTGTTACGGGAACGCACTTCCTGCCGTTGGCGATATTTGTGTACGAACGTGGCATCTTGTCTTCACCGTGCGTTCCTTACGTCATCGCGTTCTTGTGGTTTGGCAAGGGAATTTGCTTCGCGACGGAAGGGTACTTCGTCTGGTATCACGTGAAGAAGCTGAACGCCTGTTGAAGCGTGTCTAATTTGAACAAACCGTTTGTTGCTTGCTTTCGTGGTAACTTTTGGCGTATTAGTCACAAAATGGAAAGGCTTGTGATCTTGCACGAAAGTCTTCCTATGCTATTTGTAGTAGAACAAGGCGTGGATACCATTGTTTTGATATAATGCTGTGCGGTGTCGGAAGTGAACGGTTTATTTTCAAAATGCCACAGATTGCTAAGGAGTACATACTTTCTGTGTGTTTACCGTAGGCGTCAGCTATGGGGTGGTAGCAGCGACAACTGGCATAAATACAGAAAGGAAATAGGACGCACAGCTAGGCAGCTAGGTTCCGTATGTAACCATTCGTGCAAGTGAAGGTACCATTGGAGATGACAAAGCGCTCGCCCCACCCCTTCCTCCCCTCACTGGGACAAATATGGTGGCACGCTCAGCTATGGGCTGCACGTTGCTCTACATGTACAATGATGGAAGATCCTTCTCCAAAGACACTTGGATATTGTGATAACGACTAGGACGAACTTACTATGTGAACATAACCCTACTTGCACGTTAAGCTTGACTTCTGCAGCCCTCCTGTAGCCACACACAACCTGCAACGTTTGTCCCTGGCTCACCGGTACCTTTGGCGAAAGCGAAATGTATCCCTCGTCCCTCATACAAAACATTACGATCGTCTCGAAGTCACCTATAAGGTGTGACGACTACAGTACTCCCAGAGAGACACCAAATATATCTTGTAGTTACATGTCTCTAACAAGAAGAGCTTTTGCATGACTCACACGGTACGTGCATTTTGCCATCATCGCCACATCTCAGTGAAGATTATATTGGGACGTGACTGTCTCTACTTATGCATTCTTTGGCAAATCGCATCTCTTTATTTTTAGCTGCTCCGTAAGGACTTCACCCTAGTATAGTACAAACTTCTTTGTGGTTGATTGCGTAAAGTTGCATTGTACTGAAACGCCCCATTTTTTCATTTATGTGTAGCGCTTCTTGTCTTGTCACATGCAAGTAGCCTTGTATAAAAGCTAAATAGTTAAAAATACGTTTATTATGAACCTAGTGTTTGCGGAGGTAGAAGCACAGACAGCTAAACGATAGACCTACAAAGCATAAATCAGTGGTAAAGTACGCCTCACAGTGTATCGTGAAATAACACCAAAAAAGGCAAACAATTCACACTTGGATGTTCATGTGACACAGGTACGTGATAACTGTATATTCCAACTAAGAAACAGCGTGAACAGACTTCACATGCTATCGATTACCACAATGCATTACATTTGGCAGAAGTTTCATTCAATATGCTGTTTATTCTGCATACATAGGCCAATGTAGAGCTAAAATTCTGTTTATCAAATGATTGGCGCATGCAGAAGCATTAAATCTCTTAATCACAGCAAATAGCTTTATTCTGTGTCCCCGAGGAAACATATCAGTGAACTGATGCTATAGGTGCTCAAGTTTGTAAAATTTAGTATCTGGCATCAAACGAATTTCACATGCGTAAAATTCGCCTGCATTTTTGTTTGACTTGAGGGAAATCACTTACAGACAAGCAAATAAAAAAGGAAATACCCATTGTACATACGCAAATGTTACTTCACAATCGTTTGAAGCCGTAAAGAATATTTGAATCATGTATTGGATCATCTAGAAATGTTCTATCAAAGAAGCATGTGAGTTTTCTAATGACATACGTCTTTTGCGCTATATGGTACATTGCTGAGATGGAAGAAGACCAAGACGCCATAGTAGCACAGTGTAATGACAGATAAATATAACTTACGCAGTTTAGTAATATCTATGTATGACTGTTATAACACATAATGACGAGAGATAGTGTTCCTGTGTTAGGCAAATTACAAATACCAGGCAGAGTTTTTTTTTTCACAAGCATTGAAGCCACCATGCAAATATTTGTTTATCTTCATTCATACATATTGATGACCTGTTTACCTGGTCTTAAACAGGAAGAGGCATACAGAGCATTTCGCAGCAAAATTGACCTAAATAGCATCACACGGACATAGTGACATCGGTACTATTTGTAAAAAAAACCTAAACGAAAAACGTGATGTAGATTGCGAAAAAGCGTACATTAAAACAATTTTGTAACAATTAAAAAACAAAAGTAAACCAGTGCAACTAATAACCTAATTACGCTCACTGAAACGTACTGAATACAAAGAGAAGCACTGCATATCTCTACTAAATTCATGTTATACAATGAGTAATATGTCACAATTGGTTAATGGTTGTTGACAGCATTTAGAAATAAATCAAATGTTGTACACTCGACAGTATCCGCCGTTAGGCTATTACAATGAAGGGTAGTTGGGGAGAAAAGAAAGAATACTTGACGATATGTGCGCGGTTTACGTAATCTATGGCTTCCGTTGAAGGATATGAGCGCACAGCACATTAACGTGTTTGTCAAGTGGGCACCGCTTTGATAATTCCATTGGAAGCATTATAAAAAGAAAGGTGTTACAAAGACAGAGTGGCTCTTCTGAGTCGATTTATTTTATAAGTTGTGCTCATTTGCTGTTCGAATCATGTGAACACAATAAGTGTTTATATTGTCCAAAACACACTTAATAACACACTTTATTAACGCATGCTTATATTATGAGAGGAAGAAAAATTATAATACGCTGGGAGGAAGAAAAACTATAAAAAAGAAAGCAGGTGCAATTACTAGTGAGGAGAAGGGATGAGAGAGGGTGAAAGAAGAGCAAGGAAAAGAAGAAAGAAAGGAGGAGCGCAAGCACAAATGACGCCAAAGCGCAGAGTGGCAGCCTTGTGCAGTATGACGGCATTATCAAGAGCCTGCAGCCACTCGGGCAAGTCTTTTGCCCTTCGGAATTTCAGCAATGCCTTCGTTGCTTGCATTCTCGACTTTTCGGGATGACACTGGACAAAATTTTCTAGTGTCATTGTTCTGGTGTCAAGATGAACGAGAGCGATTGAAAGGAAAATAATGGCTTTTTAGGACGATGCACGTTCAACTAGTAACTGCGGCTCGATAAATATTCGTAGATACACTTGCTGGCCTCAAGTAGCATGTTACGGAGCTGCTGAATTAATGTTGTTCGTGGCATCTAAAATAGGCAGTGGTTATGTCACACATTCCGCTCACAAACATTGCGAACCTATTTCAAGATACGTATCGAACGTAAACGCTTTGCAATTGTAGGTTCCGATTTTCACACATGGGATAAAATTGTCTTTTGTGAAAGAAAACAGAGCATTTAATGCGCTTATCGGGACGTATATGCCAAACTAAAACATCGCGCGTTACGCATGCTGAAATGTAAGGACACTTCAATAAAGAGAACGTACACACTCAAAAAAAAAAAAAGAAGAGTCAAAGCGTCATGTGACTTCATTCGAGTAGTCGTATCTTTACACGTATATAACTCTTTTAAAAAAGGCACGTCAACCTTCTTAGGGGGTCATTCTACTATATTTGACACTAGAGTTTATGTACCACTTTAAAAAGGGTCATATCCGGGGCAAGTCAGGAGTACACAGAAGTCACATGTACTGGTTTTTTCTTAGGGTACAGAAACTGAACGTTTATAATGCAGGAGTGACGATTGCATGAAATACCTTTATTAGGTCCACGTTAGACGCAGGTTAACTCAGCGTCACTTGGCTAGGGCCGCTCGGGGACGGTCTGGTTAAAGCTGACCGCCCTTGCGCAGGCTCACCAGACGGCCTGGATCGAGAGGTGATGTCCTGGGCCTTAAACAGCTTGTTCATTTCTTCTTCTTGGAAAGGGGGACCAGCAAAGGCACATCGTTATAGTACATGCTCGAAGTCCGCGTAACCGCAAAACAAGGGGCCGTCCAGGCTTGAGAATCATTCGTGGTATATTGTGTGCAGTGCAGCAGGGCTCGAGTATAGCGAGGACAAAATGTTTCGAGGCATAACTGCTGCATAGGGCTCTAGAGTGACAGTATAGACTAGTATTCATTAAAGGAAGTCAAAGTAGCTCAAAATAGGAACGCGAAACATGAGAGCGTTAGGGCATTTTTTGGTATGTTGTAAGCGTGGCGAACAACTATTAGCACTGGCTTTGTATTCGCAATGGTTGGCGGTGCTTGCGTGATGAGAAAAAGTATATAGCTGTGACTATCGCTACACCAACTGCGAGGAAAAATATAATGCTGCGACGAGCCCAAAGCAACTGCGATCACGTGCTTTACTGAACGAAGAATGTGTGTTCTAGGGGAGAAGCTCCTAAAGGAGTGCGGCTGTCTATCTCTTGTTTGTACGTGACCGCCTATAGTTCCACCTTTGACAACTGCCTACTACTTCGTTCTTGCAAGCATCCCACTACGCCCTTTCACCGATCCACCACTTCAGCGACCATAAAGCCGTTATAATGAAGTGGGAACGGAAGCGAGTCATAGCTACCCCTATTGAATAATAAAATTTTTGTATAAATATTTACAGTGTTCTCACGTCTTTGATGATGTAGGGGGTGAAATTCGTGGATGATTCACCGTTAAGCGATGAAACCCTCCAGCACTTCGCCTTACTCATCATCAATCACTCCGTGGATATGCTGTGATTATTTTGTGCACCAGGGGTATAATCTTTACACATTATAATTAAGCGGCAGGTTACGCAGGCGTAAGAAATTATTATAAGACCAGACGTGACCGCAGTGGTTGAGTTATTATCGCGGATGTGCATTGTTTTGCTTGAAAATAATGAATTTCTTTGGTCATCCCGGCTCTTCAGCGATGCTGGAACCTGCGTGACAAAAACAACGACTAATAAATAAAGAGATGGAGGCACCCAATATAGAGAATGTTATTGTGGAAGTACCAAATCAATCTATTCACTACTTGGGTTATAGAAAGCTCAACAACTGCTCTTCGTCCCAAGAATGGCTTATAAACGAACAATGAGGTGGTACTGAAGTGCCAGCGTAAACATGTCTCTGATATAGACTACGCGTCGCTACAGTTCTTTTAACTCTCCGCTCCAAC